GCAGTGCACTCCCGGTTGAGGATGAGAAAGATGTCAACTCCAAGGGTGCTTCTGATGCTTTGTCGCCAGAAGAGCAAGCACGATTGATGATGGAGGCATTCAAGACAAAGGCAAGCGAAAAGAAGCTGGACAACGAAGATGCTGAGCCCAAGCCTCGACGAGGGCGTCCCAAGTCTACGGCAAAGGCCAAGGCCAAGGCCAAGGCTACGGCCAAGGCTAAGGCTCAGCCACAGAAGGCCATGAAGAAGATGGTCATGAAGGTGGCCATGAAGAAGGTGGCTGCAAAGAAGATGGCCATGAAGAAGCAGCCCAAGGGCAAGGTCATCAAGAAGGATGCAAAGACTGTGAAGAAGGACCGCGAGTACTACAAGAGCATTGGCAAGCATGGGCGCAAAGCGCTCAGGCCGAATGGCTGCTACAAGTGTCGTTTCAAGGTGTGCAGCCCTTCATGCTTTGTGTGAGATGTATTAGCATAGATCTTTCTTGGCAGTCCTGTTTCCGTTGAAACGCGACGAAGATGCAATTTGTATTGGGAACATTGTTTGCACGACATCGAACTCTGATGTAGGGGCAGTGCACAGGATGAACGCTGAAAAAGCATGTGTTCTTTTTTTTGGACGCCTTGCATGTTTCATGTCATGTTTCGTGCCGTGATATGCCATGTATGTATGTGTCATGTCAGGCCATGTAAATTTGTCGACTGGTTGCACCAGGTGAAGTGATGAACGATCTCACTGAACGACACCTCAAGCATGGATCAAAGAAGATGCATGTCTATGCTTCATGACTCGTCATGACATGTTTCATGCCATGCATGCATGGCTTTTGGCTGCACCAGGTGAAGTGACAAGCGATCTCACTACATAGTCTCACTGAACGACACCTCATGCAAGCATGGATCAAAGAAGTTCGTATTTATGCTTCGTGACATGGAATGTTTCCTATATACAATGCATGCGTGGCGACAGGCTGCACCAGGTGAAGTGACGAACGATCTCATCGAACGACACCTCATGCACGGATCAAATAAGTTCGTATATTTATGTTTCATGACATGTCATGTTTCATACAATGCATGCATGGCGACAGGCTACACGTGAAGCGACGTTCGAGTCTCACTATACATATATCTCATTGAAGGACACCTCACGGCATGGATCAAAGAAGTTCAAAAAACATGTTTTTCCTTGCATGTTTTGAAGTTTGTTTGACAGACATGCCATGGTCTAAGCATCAGCTGGCCGAATTGGGCCGTCGGTCCTACGTCTCAAAAGCTGGGTTGGCGGCTGTCTTGACAGAACTGAAAGCGGATGGCTTGATTCCTGAAGACAATCCTGTGTCCACACGCACCCTCAAGCGGGCAAGGGATGATTTTCTGAGCGACCTTGGTTCCACATCAGGTGATTTGATCAAGACCATCGTCATCAAAGCCAGCAATACCGCAGAGCCACCGTTGACAGTGTCATATATTGATCCTTTTGCTATGCTGCAGGTGGCAATAGACAACTGCGAGCCGCTGCGAGAGCATGTTCTGAAATGCTTGGTTGAGAA